CTGCGTTCACTTACTCCGGGCACATACCCAGAGGTAAGATTTCCAGGTGATACGGTAATGGTATTTTTAACTTTTTGAGGAACCGCCGTGCGTTTTCCACAGCAGCAGCACCATTTTACATCCGCACCAATAGTGCACAGGTCTTCCAATTTCTCTACATCATTGCCAACATTTGTTATTTTCTGTGCTTTTTAAAGCATGATGTCCATTCTAATGGGTGTGAGGTAGTATCTCACTGTAGGCTTGATTTTCATTTCCTTAATGATCAGTGGTATTGAGCATCTTATTGGCCATTTGTGTTTTTAATTTTTATTAAAAATTTTTTTTGATACTTTATTTATTTTTGATAGACAGAGAGAGACAGAGCACAAATGGGGGAGGGGCAGAGAGAGAGGGAGGGTTCTCTCTCATCAGCACAGAGCTCGATGCAAGCCCCATGATTGTTTAAAGCAACAGTAACAGTCATGTCTTGTCGGGTTTGCATCTACACAGAAGTAAAATGTATGACAAAGCAGCATAGAGGGAAGAAGGCAGTAAATGGAGCTAAACCATTGTAAGGTTTCAAATCGTCCAAGAAATGCTAAAAAAAAAAAATTTCAGATAGACTGTGATGAGTCAAAATTGCATATTGTAATATCTAGTGTAACCACTAAAAATACAAAAATATATAGCTTGAAATAGAGTATAGGAGATGAAACGGAATAATTGGAACTAGTTCACTCATGAGAAGAAGGTAGGACAGGAAGTATAATGAAACAAAGAGGAGGTCAGTAAATAGAAAACAAAGAGAAAGATGGTAAATTTAAAGCCAGTTATATTCATAATGACTCAGTGTAAACGGAAAAAACACTCCAACAGAAAAAGACTGTAAGACTGGGCAGAAAGCAAAACCTGGCCGTTAATATATGCTCTTTATATGAGACCCACTTCAAAAGATAAAGGCACCAACAGATTGAGAGTAAGAAGGTTGAAAAAGCTACACACCTTGCACACACCAACCAAAGGAAAGCTACACTAACATCACAAAGAGTAGAATTAACGCAAGAAATATTGATAGCATTAAAGAGGACATTCTGTAACGAGGAAAAGGTCCGACCACAGGAAGACAAAACAGTCCTGAACTGGATGTAGTGAATAATCACACAGCTAAAAGCAGAAATGCAAGAACATCAAACGTATTTGGAGATTTTAATTCTGTTCTCTCAGTAACTCAGAGAACAAGCAGGCAACGTTATCAGCGAAGATACAGATTTTAGAAACTTGACTCAATTGACTTTTCAGAACACACTACTAGTCCTCAAGTCTGCATGAGAGGTTTGCTAAAACATATCACATGCTGGGCCAAAAGCAAGTTTCAACAAAACTCATGTTTCTCCTTCTTCTAAGTGATGGGCCCGAGGCCACACTTTAATAGAACTAGGGTTTGAATTCAGGCCTACTGCCCCAGAAACCCATGTCCATTTAATTATGCTAATGGCCTCTCATGTTTATTGTTTATCAGTGGTGGATGTCTGTATATAGAAAACAGAACATTGATCTTTATCCCTTACCATACACAAAACTTAATTTAAGATTAATCGTAAAAGGCTATGAGTGAAAGAAAAAACATTAAAGCATCTAGAAGAACTCAGAGGAGAACACTTTCATGACATTGGACAAGTAAAGGTTTCTTAAACAGGACTCTTAAAAGCCCTACCATAATAGAAAAACTCAAAACACTGGGCTTCATTAAAAAAAAAAAAAAAAAAAAAAAAGAAAGAAAAGAAATCATTGAGAGGTAAAAAGACAAGGCATACACTAAGAGGGGGTATTCTTTTTTTATATAGTATACTTAATCTTTATTTTATTTATCTTAATGTTTAGTTTTGAGAGACAGAGAGAGAGAGACAGAACGTGACATGAGTCGGGGTGGGGCAGAGACAGAGGGAGACACAGACTCCAAAGCAGGCTCCAGACTGAGCTGTCAGCACAGAGCCCGACGCAGGGCTTGAACCCATGAACCGTGAGATCATGACCTGAGCCGAAGTCAGATGCTCAACTGACTGAGACACCCGGGCACCCTGAGAGAGTATTCTTTATTTTATTTTGTTTTTTAATTTTTTTTAAATATGAAATTTATTGTCAAATTGGTTTCCCATACGACACCCAGTGCTCATCCCAAAAGGTGCCCTCCTCAATACCCATCACCCACCCTCCCCTCCTTCCCACCCCCCAACAATCCCTGAAAGGGTATTCTTAATGCACATATCCAACAAAGGACTCAATGAGGAATGCTTAGAGTACTCTTAGAAATCCATTTAAAGATGTGACGACCACTCTTGAGGCCAGGAAAATGGAAGCAAAAATAAAGTACTGGGACCACATCAAATAAAAAGCTCCTGCGCAGCGAGGGAAACCACCAAAAAAACTAAAAGGCAACCTTTGGAATGGGAGAAGGTATTTGGCAAAGGACATATCCAATAAAGGATCCGTATCCAAAATATATAAAGAAATTATACAACTCAACACCCAAAAAAACAAATAATCCAATTTAAAAATGGGCAGAAGACATGAACAGACATTTCCCCATAGAAGACACCCAGATGGCCAACAGACACATGAAAAGATGCTCCACATCACTCATCATGGCGGAAATACAAATCAAAACCATGATGGGATACCACCTCACACCTGTCAGAATAGCTACAAGAAGTAACAGGTGTCGGTGAGGATGTGGAGAAAGGGGAACCATCTTGCACTGCTGGCGGGAACGTAACCTGGCGAAGCCACTCTGGAAAACAGTGTGGAGGTTCCCCCGAAAGTTAAAAATGGTAATTGCACTACTAAGTATTTACCCAAGGAATACGAAAACACGAATTCGAAAGGACACGTGCATCCCTATGTTTACTGCAGCATTTTCTACAATAGCCAAATTATGGAAACAACCCAAGTGTTCATTGACTGATGAGTGGATAAAGAAGATGCGGTATGTATACATACACACGGTGGAATGCTACTCAGTGATGAAAAAGAATGAAATCTCACCATTTGCGATAACATGGATGGAGCTAGAGAGTATAATGCTGAGCAAAAGAAGTCAGAAAAAGACGAATACCACGTGATTACACTCAACAAACAAAACAAATGAGCAAAGGGGAAAAAGTGAGGGAAACAAACCAAGAAACAGACTCAACTACAGAGAACACACCGATGGCCACTGGAGAGGAGGCGGGGGATGGGAGAAACCGGTGATCAGGATTAAGGGGTGCACCTGTTGGGCTGAGCGCTGGGTGACGGATAGAAGCGTTGAGTCACCAGACTGCCCACCTGAACTAACATCACACTGTATCCCAACTATACTGGACTTTATTTTTAAAAAAAATTTTTTTTTTTACAACGTTTATTTATTTTTGGGACAGAGAGAGACAGAGCATGAACGGGGGAGGGGCAGAGAGAGAGGGAGACACAGAATCGGAAACAGGCTCCAGGCTCTGAGCCATCAGCCCAGAGCCCGACGCGGGGCTCGAACTCACGGACCGCGAGATCGTGACCTGGCTGAAGTCGGACGCTTAACCGACTGCGCCACCCAGGCGCCCCTATACTGGACTTTAAAAAGGACACAGAGAACATTTTAAAAAAGACTGCCAAGCTAATAGGAAAGTGACGGTGATAATATAAACATTAACAACGACAAGAAAATAATCAATAAAAATTTTTTAATTAATATGATTTAAAAAGACACAATCAACCTGATTTTTAAATACACAAGAGACACGGACAAGCGCCTCCCTAAAGAAGATACTCAAATGACTGACAAGCATCTGAAGCGATATCCAACCGCCCGGTCGTCAGAGGAGTGCAAACGAAGAACAAGAAGAGAGAACTGAAAAGACTCGTGGCGACAAGGCTGCCTGCCACGTGCAGGAAGCGTAGCCCACGCTCAATGCTGTTGGTATCTGGATACGTGCAACCACTCTGGAAAATGTTCAAACACCGGGGGTAACCCAGCTGCTCACCCACGTCAGGAGAGAAAGTTCTGTGCCCTGTGGGTAGCAGAAAACCTGGCTACGCGCACAGTGTGGATGAACCCCACAGATTCCGCGTCAAGTGAAAGTCACGTGAGTCCGTGACCGTGAAATCCCACAACGAAGCTGGTTACGGCGGTAGCAGTCAGGTGCGACCTCTGTGGGGTCTCTGCCTGGGAGGGTGCCTAGGGGGCCTGATGGGGGCTGCAAATGGTTTTCATCCCGAGCTGGGTGGCGGTCTCGCCGGGTGGGTACATGTGCAGAAGTACATCCGGCTGGACAGACAGCAGCACACGCAGCTGCCCTCGATCCAAAGGAAGAGAAAATACTCGACTGATCCCAAAGAAGTAAAGAGGAAGGAAACAACACTGCCCCTGGGGGGTGGGGGCGGGGGGCTCTGGGCAGACCCTCCTCACAGTCCTGCTCCTGCTGCAGGGGCGCCTGGGTCACCTCTGCCCCAGCTCCTCTGTTGGCCGCTGTTCAGGGGGTGCTGGGTCTCCCCCCGCCCCCCGGGAAGGACTCGGCCTTCCCTTCGGGAGACGGGGAGGAGAGCCAAGCTCAGCCTCCGGATTCCCATGTGGCAGGGAGCCCTGAAGGCCGTGGAGAGTCAGCTGGGCTGGGCCGAGCAAGCGTTCCGCTCTGTCCAGAGCCCACTCGTGGGGTTCAAATGAGGTAAAAGACAAGAACCGTGTGGAAGATGCTTTAGGCGACGTTACCCAAAGGAGCCCCCAGGGGAGTGTCATCCTTTTATGAGCCAACAGGGACTTGGTGGGATCTGCGTACCCCAGCACCCTGACAGGAGCCCCAACCCCGGAGAGGCGCTCCAGGTGTCCCAGGGCGGGACTTCCCTGGACAGCTCCTGAAGCCTCCGCCCCCCCCCCGCCGCGGCCCCCCCCCCCCCCCCCCGTGTAGGTGAGCCTTGCTGCCCAGTGCGTCTTACTGAATGGGGGACACGGGGCGCGTCTTACTGAGCGGGCGACACAGGGCGCGTCTTACTCAACGAGGGAGTAGTATTGCTGCGTCAGGTCCTTCCACTCGTCCTCCGTGAGGTCCTGGGTGGCGTCCTTGGAGATGTCGATGTCCTCGTGCTCCAGCTGACCCAGGTAGGCCTGGCACACCTTGTATGCGGTGTCCACGAGCTCCCCCGAGAGGCCCATGGGCTTGGATTCCGCATTCTCGGGAACTGAAAACCAAACACAGGCTCGTGGAGGGGGGACCACCTGGGGCACCGGACACAGGCCACCCCAGCCCGGCCAACCTGGGCACCACGCCTGCGTCTGGCCTTCCCGCTGCTCCGCCCTCCAGCCACACTCAGCACCCACGAACGCAACACTACTTCCTGACTTGCTACAGAAGCCCGGCTTTCCTGAGCCCACGCTGGTGTCCGGTAAGTACTTGGTGAGCAGTCCTGCCTGACGCCCGCGAGCCACTGTGAGCTTACCCACTCTTACCCAGCATCTCACTCTCCTGGAACCCCAGAGTCAAGCTGGACCCCTGGGTCTCAGGAAGCACGGGGAGCTCCCCCGGCAAGGCGAAAGCGACCCTCGAGAGGCCGAGCTCCCACGCGAGGCAGCCCGGGCCTGGGCCCCCCCCACCCCCAAGCCACTGAGGGAGAGGGAGCTCACAGCCAGCATCTGTCTGCACGCACTTATGGGGAAGGAGACTGAAGAAAGGTAAACCCAGGGACCAGGAGGCTTGTTGGGATGAAAACAACTCCACAAACTGGGGCAGGGTGGGCATGGGGGTCAGGCCCTGCATGGGCGGAGGCCTCACAGACCCCGGCAGTGCTGGGCCCGGGAGAAAGCGCTGCATTCACACGGCTGTTGTAGACATTACAATGTGCGTTTTTAACCTGTATTGTGGTGAAATTCACAGAACATAAAAATAACCATTTTCTTTTTTTTTTTAATTTTTTTTTTCAACGTTTATTTATTTTTGCGACAGAGAGAGACAGAGCATGAACGGGGGAGGGGCAGAGAGAGAGGGAGACACAGAATCGGAAACAGGCTCCAGGCTCCGAGCCATCAGCCCAGAGCCCGACGCGGGGCTCGAACTCACGGACCGCGAGACCGTGACCTGGCCGAAGCCGGACGCTTAACCGACTGCGCCACCCAGGCGCCCCAAAAATAACCATTTTCAAGGGGAAAACTTCACTTCTGTTTTCTGATCAGGCACATAAGGAGCCTGGAAGTTGTCAACCTGGCCTGACGACAAGTAAAAAGAATCAACAACTCTTCTTTGCTGCTTCAGAGCTGAGGTCGCCGGACAAACCATCGTCCCCGAAATTTGCAGAGACGGTCAGGTGGATACAGCGAACCACACCTCACCAGGTCAGAACCCCCCAGACGCCAACACCCGGACAGGAAACCTGAACTGTAATTCCAGGACCGTCTGGCTCAGGGGGCCCCCATGCTTTCGTCAGTCTTACCTCTGGCAACTTGACCTGGTTTTCACAGTGAGTACGGGAGAAAAATCCCCTCCTGCTTCCGGCAAGGAAAGGGAAAAGGGACCATCTTGCAAATTGCCAGAGCATTCTGTTCTTCAGGAGGCCCGCCCTCAGGAGAAATAGTTGCCCAGAGCCTGACCTGCTGGGAGAAGGCAAAGACCCAACTCCACCCCCCGCTAGTCCTCTGTCCCGCCAAAGGGGGTAAAAACTGAGAAGCACAGTGACGTTCATCGTCCGGGGGCACAGGTTCACTAAAGACTGAGACCTAATCATGAGATTATAGAACACTCTTTCAGACAAAATTTTTTAAAAAATTGAGGAAATTTTTTTTGCCAGTAGACCTGCCAAGAAATCTCAAGTTTTTCAAAGAGAAGGAAAATAACACAGGTCAGTTCCACATAAAGAAAGGAAGAGTGTTAGAAAAGGAATGAATGAAGGTAAAGTACAAACTTTTACTTTTCTTATTCGTGAGATTTTATTTTTCTTATTCTTATTTTTAATAAGAATATTTTTATTATTCTTGGGGTGCCTGGGTGGCTCAGTCACTTAAGCATCAGACTCGATTTCGGCTCAGGTCATGATCCCATGGGCATGGGATAGATCCCCGCATCAGGCTCTGCACTGAAGGTGAGGAGCCTGCTTCAGATTCTGTGTCTCCCCATCTCTCTGCTCCTCCCCTGCTCGCTCTCTGTCTCTCTCCCTCAAAATAAGTACATTTTTTTTAAAAAGAGAAAGCATCATTATAGATCTCATGGACATTGAAAAGATAGTAAAGAAATACTATGAACTCTCTGCACACTAATTTGATAATCTAGATGAAATGGACCAATTTATTGAAAGACACGACCTGTCAAAATTCACACAAAAAGAAATAGATGATCTGAAGAGACCTATATCTATTAAATAAATTGAATCAGCAATTAATAACCTTCTAAAACAGAAAGCACCAGGTCCAAATGGGTTCACTGGTGAATTCTACCATTTAAAGAAGAAATTATAGCAATTTTCCACAATCTCAGTAGATAGAAACAGGGAATACTTCCTTCCTCGTTCTATGAAGCCAGCATTACCCTATCACCAAAACCAGAGAAAGACATGAGAAAAGAAAACTAAAGACTAAAATCTCTCATGAATAATAATACAGAAATCCTCGCTAAAATACTAGCAAGTCAAATCCACAATGTATAAAAAGAATTATACACCATAATCAAATAAGATTTATCTTAGGTATGCAAAACTGGCTCAACATTTGAAAATCAATTAATGTAATCTATTACACATCAAAAGGCTAAAGAAGAAAAATTATATGATCGTATCGATACAGAAAAACATTTGACAAAATTCAACTCACATTCATGATAGAAGCTCTCAGCAAGCTAGGAATAGAGAGGAACTTCCTCAACTTGATAAAGAATATATGCAAAAACCCCCTATAGTTAACATTATACTTAATGGTGAGAAATGAGAAATTTATTTACACTCTAAAATCAAGTGCAAGATGGGGCGCCTGGGTGGCTCGGTCGGTTAAGCATCCGACTTCGGCTCAGGTCATGATCTCACGGTCCGTGAGTTCGAGCCCCGCATCGGGCTCTGTGCTGACAGCTCAGAGCCTGGAGCCCGTTTCGGATTCTGTGTCTCCCTCTCTCTCTGACCCTCCCCTATTCATTCTCTGTCTCTCTCTGTCTCAAAAATAAATAAACATTAAAAAAAATTTAAAATCAAGTGCAAGGCAAGGACCTCCTCCCTCTCACCACTGTTTTTCCAACATCATACTGGAAATCCTAGCTAATGCAATGAGACAAGAAAATAAGAGGTACACAAATTGAGTAGGAAATAAAACTGTCTTTATTCATAGATAACATGATTATCTATGTAGAAAATCTGAAAGAATTGACAAAAAAACTCCTAAAACTATTAAGTGATTAGTTAATCACTTTCCTACATACCAGAAATGAATTATTGGAATTTGAAATGAAAAACACAACACCATTTACATTAGCACCCAAAAACTTAATATACAAATAAATAAATCTAACAAAATACGTTCAAGATCTATATGAGGAAAACTACAAACCTCTGATAAATGAAATCAAAGAAGAATGAAATTAATAGTGAGATATTCCATGTTCACAAATAGGAAAGATTTACTGTCAAGATGTCAGTTCTTGGGGTGCCTGGTTGGCGTGGTTGGTTGAGCACCAGACTTTTGATTTCGGTTCAGGTCACGATCTCACAGTTTGTGGGATCAGACCCCGCGTCGGTCTCCATGCTGACAGCATAAAGCCTGCTTGGCATTCTCTCTCTCTCTCTCTCTCTCTCTACCCCTCCTCCCCTTGTACTGTCTTTGTCTCTCTCAAAATAAATAAACTTTAAAAAAAAGATGTCAGTTCTTCCATACTCAATCTATAAATTCAACGCAATCCCCATCAAAATCCCACAAGGCATCTTATGGATATTGACAAGTTGATTCTAAAATTTACATGGAGAGGCAAAGGATACAGAATAGCCAACCCAATATTGAAGGAGAAGGATAAATTGGAGAATTGATACTATTCAACTTCAAGTCTTACCACAAGTCTATGTAATCGAGACAGTGTGGTACTGGTGAAATAACTGACAAATAGATCCCTGGACCCAAATAAAGAGCCCAGAAATAGACCCACAAAAATATAGTCAATTGATCCATGACAAAGGTGCAAAGGCTATACAACAGAAAAAAAGTGGTCTTTTCAACAAATCGTGCTGAAACAGGTGCAAAAAAAAAGCACACAAAAAAGAATTTAGATACAGCTTTTACACCCTTCATAGAAATTAACTCAAAATGGATCATACACCCAAGTGTGAAACACAAAAGTACAGAACTCCTAGAAGACAGCATGGGAAACCACCAAGATGAAGCTGAGTGCAGTGATAAGGTTTTAGACACATTCCCAAAGGTACAGTCTATGAAAGAAATACTTGATAAGCAGGATTCAATACAGTCAGGAGGATGAGAAGATACGTCGAGGACTTGGAGAAAATATTTGCAAAAGACACATCTGGTAAAGGGCTGTCATCCGAAATACACACACACACACCACACACACAAAACCCCTCTTAAACCTCAACCAGAAACATTTTCAAATGGTAGGGAAGCTAAACAGATTTCTCACCAAAGACTATATTTACAGATGGCAAAGAAGTATATTAAAAGATACACAGGGCGCCTGGGTGGCTCAGTCGGTTGAGAGTCTGACTCTTGATTTCAGCTCAGGTCATGATCCCAGGGTCATGGGCTAGAGCCCCACATCAGGCTCCACACAGAGCATGGAGCCTGCTTAAGATTCTCTCTCTCCCTCTGCCCATCTCTCCTGCTTTCTCTAAGAAATAAAAAACTTAAAAAAAAAAAGGTTCTCTCTCTCTCTCCCTCCCTCTCCCCAATTCACACACTCTCTAAAAACATACAAATAAATAAGTAAACAAATGAATAGGTAAATAAATAAAAACAGTGTATTTTGAAAAGCAAAAACAGATGCTCAAGGCCACGTGTCATTGGGGAACTTCAGGTGAGAACAGCAAGAGACACACTGCACACCTGTCACCTGGGTCACACGCGGCCCAAATCCAGACCACGGACGCCACGAGCGCTGGGAGGACGCGAAGCACTCATTGCTGGTGGGGTGCAAAATGGTGCGGCCACTGTGGAGGACAGCTTGGTGGCGTCTTACCAAACTAAGCACACTTTTTTTTTTTAATTTTTTTTAGCGTTTATTTGTTTTTGAGACAGAGAGAGAGAGAGCATGAACGGGGGAGGGTCAGAGAGAGAGGGAGACACAGAATCGGAAACAGGCTCCAGGCTCTGAGCTGTCAGCACAGAGCGTGACGCGGGGCTCGAACCCACGGACCGCATGATCATGACCTGAGCCGAAGTCGGACGCTTCACCGACTGAGCCACCCAGGTGCCCCAAAGCACACTCTTACCATTGTGTCCAGCGATCAGGCTCTGTGGTATTTAGCCAAACGAGTTGAAAACACGGTTGCACAAAAACCTGCACCCAGATCATAACTGCCCAAACTTGGAAGCAGCCAACATGCCCTTCAGTAGGTGATGGAGAAAGTCAGCCACACGGTGGGCCATCCACACAATGGAGTGTGATGTGGCACTAAAAGGAAATGAGCTACCAAGCCATGATGGAGTTGGAGGGACCTTAGCTGCACATCACTGACTGAAAGAGGCCAGAAAAGGCCACGTCTGGGGGCGCCCGGGGGGCTCAGTCATTAAGACCAGCTCTGGATTTCAGCTCAGGTCATGATCTCACGGTTTGAGCGTTCGAGCCCCATGGCGGGCTCTGTGCTGACAGCGTGGAGCCCGCTTGGGATTCTCTCTCCCTCTCCATCTGCCCTCCCCCACTCTCCCTCTCCTCCTCCTCCTCCCCTGCTCATGTGGGAGCCCCCCCTCTCTCTGTCTCTCTCAAAATAAGTAAATAAACTTAAAAAGGAAAAGAAAAAAGAAAAGAAAAAGGAAAAAAAACTAGAAGAAAAAAATTAAAAAAAATAAATAAAAAGGAAAGGCAAAGGAAGGCTACGTATGTATGCTTTCAGCCATATGACATCTGGAAAAGGCGGAATGACGGCGACAGCGAAAGGACCAGTGGTGGCCAGGGGCGGGGGCCAGGGGCCCGTCCCCAGGCGGGGACGGGTAGGCAGAGCACGAGGACATCAGGGCACCGGAAGCACTGTGGTACCGTGACGGCGGGCCCGCGCCCTCACACAGCTGTCCAAACCCACCCCGCATACAGGACCGCAGCTCGCTACAAACGCCGTGAGAACGACGTGTCCACACGGGCGCATCCGTCACAGCAAAGGCATCAGCCGGTGGGAACGCTGACGGCGGAGGGGGCTCTGGGGGCCTATGGGAAATCCCTGCACCTTCTGCGCAAGTGCACTGCGAACCAAAAGCTGCTTTATCAAAATCAACAACAACAACTTCTTTGGGTTTCGTAGGCCTAACGCCACAGTGGCTCTGCACCACGCGGGAAAGCCACTCCCCGTCTCCCTCTTCTACAGGGAGGGAGGACCCCGTCCTGGACGCATGGCCCGCTGCCCCTCCTGCACTGTTCTCCCCGCACGGTGCAGCCTCGGGCCCCACACACCTTTCTTGCTGCCAGGGCCGCGGTCGCCGGCCTCCCCGCTGCTGCCGCACTTGTGGTGCCTGACCACCCACTTGAGGATGCTGGAGGCCACCGTCCGCCGGAAGTCGTCTGAAAGGACACCCAGGCCTCGCCCCCTCTCCGGCCGGGGACCAGGGACCTCGGCCAGCACCAGCTGTCCTCAGCCCAGGCGCCCCACAGGCCTCACCTCCCCCTCGCTGCCTTCAAAGGGGCCGTTCCCTCTGCCCCGGCCTCTCATGGGCCCTGTCAACAGGCCCAGAAGCAGAACCCGCGCACCCCCTCCCTGCCTCTCTCCTGCTCGCCCCAACCCCCCACCCGGGGCCACAGTGCATGGACACCCTCACCACCTCCCCCTGCTCCTGTGCCCTCAGCCCCGCACAGAGGACAGAAGACCCCCGCAGACACACCAGGACCCTGCCCACCCCAGAAGCCTCTCTGCACCTCCCTGGACATGCCGGCTCCCACAGCTCCTGGTGTGCATGGACCGAGGGGCTGGGCACAGAGGACAGCTCTGGGTCCCACAGACGCAGGCTGGGGGCTGGCCTGGCTCGGAGCGCTGGCTCGTGCCCGGAGAGGCGGCCGGCACCCCCGTGAGCCAGCCCATACTCACCTCCCACCCGCGCCCTCGGGGAGGTCCGCAAGAGACTCCCACACCTTCTCACCAAAACTTGCCCTTCCTCATTGCAGAGGAAGCTGCCCCCCACCCTAACCCCACCCGCCCGCCCGGCAGCTGCTGCCACGTGGGAAACATCCGGAACCTGAGCTCCCTTCCCCAGCTTCCCCAGGACCTCAGAGCTTCTCTCCTGAGCCTCCTCTGTCCACCGGAACAAAGACCCTGAGCTCGCCTGCTGACCCGTAGCCCCTCTGCCCGTCACACTCAGGTACACTGCCCGGTGCGGCCCGGTCCCCTCTGAGCTCCTGTCCTCTGGGTCTGAGAGGCCCCTGCTCACCACCCTCTCCTCCCCTGCACCTCTCACCTCCAGCCCGCACAGACCCCACCTTGTCCTGCCTGTAGCCATCTGCTCCTGGGAGCGCCAGGGTGGGGTCAGATCACACGGCAGGGCAATGCCCTATCTCCATGGCCCCAGGCCCGTGCTCAGGAAACACAAGTTACCCCCAAAAGGGCAGTGCTCACCTGTCCTGACCTTCCCCTTCTCTCTCCTCCCTCGGCGGGTCAATCCAGGAGTCCTCCCTCTGTCCCCAGGCCAGAGCCTGTCACCCACAGGACCAGCCCCACGCCAGCCTCTCCCAGAAGCCCAGTCAGAACCAAGCTGCTGACGCTCGGCTCCACAGCCCCCGTCAGCCTCCTGCTCCCATCCTGCAGCTGCGGCCCATGGAAACGTCTGGACCGGCCCTCACCACGTGAGACGGAGCTGAGCCCCCGGGCCTTGGGACGGGACCGGTCCAGCCCTGCAGCTGCGGCCCAGCCCCCCCTCCCTTCCAAAGGCTTCTGCAGCCACCTCAGCGAGAAAGTGGGCCACAGAGGGGCCCTGGCCGCCTGACGCCCGGTGGTCTCGCCTCCAGCCACGGACTTACCCAGGAATTCTTGCTTCTCGTTCTCGGTGCAGAGGCCGTAGCAACGTGGGAAGAAGGAGTCAGGGTCGGCCTGGACGTACCACGGTAGGTTCCGCATGTTCACACACAGCCCGATCTCCAGAGACAGCGGCACGTCAGGCCCCCGCAGGCCGTGTGCTGGTCCACTCAGACCAGCCTGAACGCCCACCGGCCGGCAGCACCGGCTCCAAGGGGCTCTCGGGAGGCGGGGGTGCCCCCCCCCCCGGCCTCCCAGTCCCTCCTGACCCCCGGTCAGCTGGTTGTGCCGGCCGACGTGCAGGCCAGGAGGAGACAGGGGTGGTAGGTCCTGTGCTCACCTCCCAGGTGCCTAGATGGTGCTGGGCCCAGGCCCCAGGAAGGAGGGAGTGGGCTCGCTCATGGGCACACTCACGGCTGCCCCACAAAAGTAACACTGGCTGTTACACAGGCTTGGCAGTTTTGCACCCCACGGTCCAGCTCATTGCCCCACTTGGAAAAAAGTGCCAAGTGGCCGGGAAATGCAGCGCCCACTGGCTGCTGGGCACACTGGTGGCTACTCTGCCAGGGGGTCTTTGTGGGGTTTCTGGCCTGACTGTGCCACCTGCGGGCACGGCCCACACCCCAGAGGAGGTCACCAGGAGGCCTGGCGAGGGTGTGTAGGGGCCAGACCCCCACGGGCAGCACTGGTGGCAGTGTAAGCCTCACCCCTGAGCCTCCGGGTTATCCCTGTTGCCAGGAAGCCCCTCTACCCAGCCTCTCCCCAGAGGATACATGCAGGCCTATCCACCCTGGGCAGACCTCAGGCCCCTGAAGTAGCAGGGAGGGGGCCGCGGGACTGAAAGGGGGTGACAGGAGGGGCCGGAAGCCCCAGGGCAGGGGCGGTGGCCTGGCTCTCCCTCAGACCCAGAGCCCCTCCGGGGTGCAAAGCCCAGGTCGGGCTGTGCCGGTAACCCCCACCGCCCTGCCTGGGGTTTGGCCCTGCGTGCCCAGAGGACAGTCACAGGCCAAAGGGCACTTGGGGCCCTGGGAACAGCAGTGGGGCAGGTGCTGAGGGACTCTGGACACCGATACTGCATGGTGTGGCCTCTGACCAGGCAGCGGTCCCAGGGAGGAGCCCGGAGGTGACAAGTCCACATGTCGTCCTCCCAGCCTCAGGGCCCTGGTGCTTGGGGCTCCTGTCCCGCCAGCCTCCCCGCCAGCTCTCCCACTCACCTTGGTGGTGAAGGAAGCCGTCTTCCCATAGTGATTCAGCATCTGGTCACAGTTCAAGCTGTGATAGTCAACAACATCCCTTTTGATGGTCCAGAGCAAGTACGGCATTTCGTTTTTGACCAACCTGGACTGGCAAGAAAAAAAAACCCTCATCGAAACCCAACATCCAAGGTTCATATCTTTGGGTGTTGGGGTGTCAGTAAGAGTGAAGGAAATCAGACTTTAAATGACACTTAAAGTGTGTATTCTGTGATTCTCGTCTGGAAAGCTAGAGACACCTGTTCCCTGAGGGCCTACTCTGTGCTGTGCTGGGAGCAACCAGCACACAGGGGCCCTGCTCTCAAGAAACAAGTGCGGGGCTCCGGCTGGCAGCTGCAGGGGCACCAAAAGTGTGTGGCTGAGTGAAGTCTGAGCTGCCTGCCTGTGGATGCCCACGTGAGGTTTGGGGACATGCCACACGTGGGCATGGGGTGAACTCTCTGCTTCGTGGCCTGGGTGGCCATGGGAGACGGCCTCCCCCCCTCCTCCTCACTCCTGCCGATCAAGAGGCAGGGCCACTGAGCTAGACCCAGGGTGGCCTTGGCGGCTATGCTTTTGTTCACAAGTAGAAGCACCTGTTTGGTCAAAATATCTTACCAACGAGATACAAGGAAAGGAAAACATTGTCCAAAATTCTGACACCCTCAAGACCCTGCAGGGTCATTCCGAGCAGACCAGCATTTGAGGGCACACCTAATGTTCTGCAACGCAGCCTGGCCTACCTGGACCCCATGTGAGGGCAGGACCGGGCTCCCCCCACCCCAATGCCAACACGAGCGCCCGGAGGGAGCAGGGAGCTGGCCAGCAGCATCAGTTCCTAAAACCCATCCCAGTGCTGGACGCATGGCCTTCCCTCCTACTCCAGAGTGACGGCTAGCTTTTGTTGCCACTTTCTGGAGCAAGTCCCATTTGTTCAAATGTGGGACGGACTGTCTTAGCAGGGCCTGGACCTTCAGCCCCCTGACTCCACACGGCGCCTCCTCAGGGTTCCCCGAGTCAACTCTGGAGCTTAGTGTCTGCATCCGGGGCTGGGCCCACTTCCCTGTGTGTCTGTTCACTGCTCCTCTGTGAGCCCTGCACACGTTCTGGACCTTAGATCGCCCCAGGTCCGTGGAGTGCCCCGCTCTGGCTGGCCTCCCGGCTGCCCTCGGGGCTCTTCCGGGGACCCAGAAGACCTGTCCTCCTTCCAACCGTCAGAGGTATCAGCTGTCTTCCTTGTGGAGCTGTGGGGCAGGGTTTTACATTTCTCCCCTCCCCCACATCAGGCAACGTGCAACATTCCCCCTCGCCCCACCCCCACCCCGGCAGGTGCACGGTCTCCAGGAGCCGCTGCTTCTTCAGCGCTGACCTTGCTCGTTGACCCGGGTGAGGCCCCACAAGCCTGGCCCTGCTCTGGACCTGACTCTGCCTCCCGCCTGCGCACCCCTGGCCCCAGCATCGCGGCCTCACCAAGTGGCCCGTGTGCCCTCCTGCCTGCTCTGGTCCTTTCCCACGGCTGCCACAGAGTTGTAGCCACAGCCTGTCTCCTTGCACGCATGCGCACACATGGACGCATGCAAGCACGTGCACAGGGCACACACAAGCACATGAACAAGGGCATGTACAGACGAACACGAGCACGCACACAGGCACACACATACACACGGGAGAGCAGGAGCATACGGACACACAGGAGAACGCGCACATGCCCCCCCCCCCCGCCCCCCCCCCCCCCCCCGCAATGAGCCCGTGCACGGATGCACACCAGCAAGCGCACGCATATGTGTCCTGCAGCCTGGCCTGCCTGGCCTTGTCGCCTGTCCCCAGGACACCGGGAAGGTGATAGTGTGAGGAGGCGGGGGGAACCTACCATCACATCGTGGATGTCATCTGTCTTCTCCGGAGCCGCTTCTTGGTTTTCTCTGCCTTCCGCACGTTTCTGTTCTGCAAACACGACACCCGGAGAGTCGTCAGCACGGCAGGGCCCTGCGGCCACAGCGCACTCGCGACTCCTCAGCAACCTTCCGAGGCTCGGGCCACTTCCGCCCGTCTGAGCTGAGCGTCAGCCGCACGAACCCTCCACCGGGTACTCAGCGCCAGGGTCGCGGACCGGCGTGGGGCGGGGCGGCCTTCGGGCGTGCGTCGTGCGTGGCGGAGAGGGGCGCAGGGAGCGGGCAGGGGGCTGGGCTTTGATGTGCGGAGCGGGCCTGCGCAGACCCCAGGGACTGAGGGTGCACCTGCCGTCTGCGTCTGCGGAGCGGAGACGGAGGCGGGGCCTCGGGCGGGGCGAGCCCGGGAGAGGCCAGAGGAGGGCCGGGCAGCGGGGGGGGGGGGGGGGGGGCTGCTGAAGGAGCCTGGCAACTGGGCAGACCCGGGAGGACGATGCCTGGCATGGGCAGTGGGACACTGAGAAGCAAGCAGACCAGGGCGTGAGAGCACACGCGCAGTGCGTGGTCAGGCAGGCCAGGAGGGTGACCGGGACACTTGGGGCGGAGGCCCAGGTCACAGGCCCTGCGGCCAGCACAGCATCTCCGGGGCAGTGTGACTCATCTGGTCCCCTGACAGACACACGCGTGCCTTACTCCGAGAGACGTGACGCCTTCCATACTCTACCTGTCGCCCCCACACCGTCATCGTCCACATCCAGGAGGACCTTGGGCAGAAAGTGGAACTTCTTCTCCACCCAGCCCTTTCTTCGGAGGGCGGCCCGTATCACTGGGTAGTGCCCGTAGATGGAGAAAATCTTCTTTTCCTCAAATTGCAAGAGCATATTTTAAATGAAAGAATTGAAAGACAAGGCAGCTAATTCTCTGAGGGGAGCCTTCAGAGCAGGAGGGACAGACAGACTGCATCAGCAGGTGGGATGACACTCACGTCCCGCTCCAAGGAAACACCCGGAAACACCCAGAATGCACTCACACGGGCATGGGGCTGGGTCCTCCTCTGTGGTGTGTGTCCACTTCGTGGGCCTTGCGCACATGGGCCTCACACGCACAAAGGCTCAGAGGTCCAGCACAAGCAGGACGGGGGGCGTAGCCTCAGCTCAGGGCAGGTCTGGGTCTGGAAGGTGGGCCTGGGGCGGCAGAACCTGGAGGGGGTGCGACCTACACTCTCTCTTCTCGACGAAGGCAACAGTCCCTCATGCTTGGGGATCAGAGGATGGGTGCCTGAGGTTTAAGCAGGGATGAGGGGGAGGAGTCGTTCATCCACCCAGGAAGGGCCTGAGGGACAGGAGTGCCAGCACCAGGAAGGCTGGGGACTCCTCCAGTCACCGCGGGAACGAACGCAGATGCCTGAGCACATAACCATCTCAGCCCTGACGACTCTGAATGGAGAACCCGCACCGGCCTTCACATGAACGCACACGATGCCGGGCATACAGCGAGTCGGAAGCCACATCAACGGAATAGCACTACGCAGATGACATCCTCACCCACAGTGCACCCGTGCTAGAGATCAGCAACAAAATACATAGAAAAACCTCACAAGGATGGACATTAACTATGCTTTTAAGTAACCCGCAATCAAGGGAAAGGAATCTATGAATTATAGAATACTTTGAACTACATCTCAACAAGAGTACTATGAAAACTTGAGAAATCAGGGGCGCCTGATTGACTGAGCGTCTGACTTGGGCTCAGGTCATGATCTTGAGGTTCGTGAGCTCCAGCGCCACATCGGGCTCCCTGCTGTCAGCATGGAGCCTGGAGCTGCTTCTAAGATCCTCTGTCTCCCTCTCTCTCTCTCACGCTGTCTCAAAAATAAATATTAAAAAAAAAAAAAAGCTTGTGAAATCAGCTAACGCAATACTTAAAGGGATATTTGTAGCCCAAATGTTCACATGTTTTTAGGTTTCGGTAGAAAACCTGAAAATTAATGAGCTGGCATGGTTCCATTGGCGTGAAACCCCAGAGAGCACACCAGGCGGCCACCAGGACCAGGCCGGTGGCGGCAGGCGCCCCGTCACAGTGCAGTGGCTGTGGTCTGGCTGCGCACACTCGGTGCACCCAGCCGGTCACACGTGGGCTGTGCGTTCACGCTTTGGAACCACATTTTGTGTGTGATGTGCTGAGATCCTCGGAGCTCCTATGCGCCCAGCCTTCTGAGCTGGGCAGGGTAAAGCCAGAGAACGCAGGCTTTTCCCCAGCGAGGGCAGCCCTCTGCCCCCACAAAACATCACCAGCAGTTGCCTCAATCCCAGCCACCTGGGGGCCGGCACTGGGGAGCCAGGGCAGAACCAAGGCTGGCGGAGGCGAGGGCAGCAGGGGAGCCGAGGGCCTCAAAGGCGACCCAGTCCCTCTCCAAATTCCTAAGTAAATCTCCGTGTTTACGAAGTACCCCCACCTTGGGGCGCCCGGCTGGCTCGGTCCGAAGAGCATGGGACTCTTGATCTCAGGGTGGTGAGTTCGAGCCCCTCTCCGGGTGTGGAGCTTGCTTACATCAATGAAACTTTAAAAAAAAGGTGCTCCCCACCCCCATCCCCCCCAGCCCCAAAGCGCATTTTACCTTGATGGCCTTTTCTGTTAATTGTCTTGCTATTTTGTATCTGTCTGATTTGGGGGAAGATGTCAAGTCTTGGGAAATTCCTCGTTTTAATTCTGCAGAAGAGAAACAGGCATCAAGGCACAGGTAAAAGCACACAGGTGACACTTGGGAAGGAGCCCTAATCATAGAAGCCCCCCCCCCCCCCCCCCGTGGCCCTCCTCCCAGCCCGCCTCCCCCCACCCCGGCCCCCACACCCTCCTCCTGCAACTCCTCAGCCCCTCCCCAGGCTGCATTCTGGGCAGCTCTGGCTGGGGCACCCTCTCTCCTTCTGGAGACCATGGCCCCAACTCACCCTAACCCCACCCCCACCCCCCACCTGTCCAGGTCAGCCCTTCCTTCCACCAGCTCCTCCCTGCTCCTGTCCCTGACTCTGGCCACCAGACTCCCATCAGCACACACCCAGTTTTAGTGCAAACGCCTTAAAAATTCAAATGAAAACCTTCCTCTCTGCAGGCCACCGTCCTGCACACTCCTGCCTTCAGCCTCCCTCCACACCCTCACCTGCTGGGCTCCACCATGGACACACACACAAGCTGGTCCCATGGTCACTCCCCTGGGCCCCCCTTCCCCTCCTCACTGTGGCCCCTCCTCTCTCTCCACACCCCAACCTTGGAGGTGCCCAGGCCTGGGCCTCAGACTCCATGCTGTGCTGTCCCTACCCACTCCCTGGGCCATCTCATCCTGCCTGGTGGCTTTAAATTCCAGTGTCCCCAGGCCCCTGGAATGTGTGCCTTCCATGCAGACCACCCGGCCTTCTGACCCCTCCTGGACGCCTGGTGCCTGGATATCCCAGGAGCATCGGAGGCGGGGCTAGCCAGCAGCAGACATCCACCCCCCCCCACCCCCCATCCTTCGCCCTGTGGAGCCACGCAGCCCATCAATACAGACAAAAGCAGCAGAGGCATTCAGTGGGGATGCTGCTCTAACAACTACACGTCCACGTGGAGAAAGCAAATCCCAACCCCACCTGACAACACACACAATTAATTTGAAGTCGATCACGGGCCTCAGTGTGAATGCTGGGCACAAAGCGTCTGGCAGAAAGCACCGCCCTGGGTCAGGCAAAAATCCCTGAGAGGTACACAGAAAGCACTAACTGTAAAAGTTGAAATTGGTGAAGTGAAAACGTTCGGCTGTGTTAAGGAAATGGAAAGATAGAAAGCACGGATCGGGGGAAAAATATTCACAATGTGTCTATCAGACGAAGCCCGACACAAAAGGTGACGAGTGGTTCCATCTACGTGAGGTTCCGGAGCAAGATTAACCCATGGAGACAAAAGCCAGAAAGGGGAGGGAGTGGGGGGAGGGGGAGGGCACGAGGAAACTGCCCGTGGCACCAACAGTCCAACAGCATCGCCTTGGAACGCGCGACGCCAGGCTCAGCAGAACAACAGACAAGAAACGGAAGCCACGGAAGCCACGGAAGCCACGGGCACACGTCGTGCAGGCACAGCCGCCAGGAACTGACAGAAACTCAAGCCAGGGGCAGTGAGGACTAAGATCTTCAGGACAGCGCCTCGTGAACACACGCGGGGCCCCCGCTCAACAGCAGCCACGCACGCGACCTCCAGGACGCAGGGAGCATGGGTTAAAATAGACCGTAGATGGGCGCCTGGGTGGCGCAGTCGGTTGAGCGTCCGACTTCAGCCAGGTCACGATCTCGCAGTCCGTGAGTTCGAGCCCCGCGTCAGGCTCTGGGCTGATGGCTCGGAGCCTGGAGCCTGTTTCCGATTCTGTGTCTCCCTCTCTCTCTGCCCCTCCCCCGTTCATGCTCTGTCTCTCTCTGTCCCAAAAATAAATAAAAACGTAGAAAAAAAATTTAAAAAAAAATAATAAAATAAAATAGACCGTAGAGAGGCTCTGGTTTGTCCTCTGGCCACAGAGCAATGAACTGAGGAGTCAGCGACAGAACAGATTGTCCCAGAAAACTCCTGCGCGTTTAATACACAGATCCTAATACACACGTGTCAGGGAGGCAGAGGGGAAAGGGCTGCATAGTTGTTGCCCAAATGATAATCAAAACACCAAGTATCAAACCTCATGGGCTGAAGTTAAGTCATATTTACAGACATTTTTAGCTGCAGATGCATATATTCAAAAATAATAAAAGCTAAAAGGAATGAGTTAAAAGCATCCATCTGAAGACCTTAGAAAGAATGCTAAATTTAAGCCCAAAGATATTACAAGAAAATGAATAGAAAGGAGACGTAAATAAATTATTTCTTTTAATCCAATAAAGAGGATGGGGGCGACTGGGTGGCTCAGCTGGTTAAGCATCCGACTTGGGCTCAGGTCGTGATCTCGTGGTTCATAAGTTCGAGCCCCACATCAGGCTCTGTGCTGACAGCTCGGAGCCTGGAGCCTGCTTCGGATTCTGTGTCTCCCTCTCTCTCTGCCCCTCCCCTGTTCACTCTCTCTCTCTCTCTCTCTCTCTCTCTCAAAAATAAAATAAGGATTAAAAAAATTTTTTTAATCCAATAAAGAGGCTTAATCAAGCCAAAGGTTTAAAACTAACAAAATTAATAAACAATTGGTGAGATCAACTAATAAAAAAGAGAAAAGGCATAAAAGTGTAATTAAAAACCTTCCCATAAGTAAAACTCCAGGGCTAATGGCTTCATGGGTGAATGCTACCCAACACTTAATCTTGTACAACTCGTTTGGAGAGGAGAAAAAGTGTGGCCATGCCTTACTTGTTTTGCGAGGCCAGCGTGTTACAGGCCAGTGTGACTGAAACCACGGATGACAGAATCGTACACAAACGAGGAGCAAACTGCACCCAGCGATGCAAGAACAGTCACTACGTCACGGCCACGGCCATGCAGTCTCAAGGCTGCATGAGAAAAGCAAACCCTGATTCACCAAGTGAAGAGGGGAAGAAAAATCGTAAATCCCATCCCAACAGACACGGAAAGGTCTTCACAGGCCCTGATTTCCCTTCAGGCTGCAAGCTCTTGGTGGACTAAGACACCCACAACCGGCCTGGCAGTGACCCTCGTGGCACCGGCCTTTGGTTTCTAAGCGCGCCCGGCCCTGAACCCGAGGGCCCGAGCCCCAGGAGAGCTGGGATTCCCGGTCGGGGACACTGGACGCCCCAGGCG